TCTCTCTCTCTCTCTCTCTCTCTCTCTCTCTCTCTCTCTCTCCCTTTCTTCTCTAAGATCCGAAGCCCCATTATGCGAAAACAAGCTTTCGGACGTTTACCACAAGTTTAAACACGAGCCCTTTACCTCAACAGTATCTGTCATCGCACAAAAAAGTTACATCTTTCCACTGTTGCTCCCTGATTACCCTTGGCTCGTGCCACTGTTGAAATTAGCTGGACGAGGAGTAAACAAGGGGGAGTCACTCGTGCACTGACAGGTAATTGGAGAGAGAAAAGAGGGGGTGGAGTGGGGTGGGGGGCCAGCGGAAGGGGTGGAGTGTTCTCCTCTTCTACGACTTGCATTAGAGATCTTGGTAAAAGTGAACTTCTGCCTTTCATTCAGAATTTACTAGACCTAGTTCACATATCCGGGGTCTCCGCTATGCGCACAGTGAGGCATTACTTAGGTAGCCGTGACGTCACAGCCATCATACGTGAAAAACGCTTGTTAATTTATCTTAAAGTATGAATGATAGTCAGAAGTAACCGGGCTTGGTTTCCTTCCAGTTGTTGATAATGTTTATTGGTTGTTGTTTTGTTTTGTTTTTTGTTTTGTTTTGTTTTGTTTTTAATTACCATCTTAGTATTCATAAAAGTAAAAGAATATTATTTATGCTTCCGCAGGGAAGGAATGGTGCTCTTGGCTTCTTGGATTCAAATAAACTAGATCGATTCAGATTATACTATGGAAAAGCGCGACCTTCACAACAGTGGCACTGACTGGACTGCCAGTGACTAAGATCAAGACTATCGGGAACCCCAGAAACACAAAGCAAGTTTCGGTTATGCTTCACGGGTTCTGTCTGACAAGCCAACGTAGGCCTAAGTGACCTATGTGCTAAAAGTGTTCAAGCTGGATTAAATTCAGGTCTATACAGGAAAGCATTGACTTGTGCAATGTGATTGGTCTCCTTCCCAGAGTGTAACCGAAATCTGTGGACTTTCCCAGAATGGACTTTCGCCACCCAAGCCTGATATGACCTTATTGTGGTCAGTCGTATGTGAAGATTGTGACGATGGGACAAGATTTTTCTGTCGAGGATTTGAATGTGCTCAACTTGAAGCCGGGACTGAAATGTAAGTTGCTTTTGCGGGTTGTTTTTTTTCAAATTTGTTTTTTAAGACATAAGTTTCTCTCTCTCTCACTTTTTCTAACTCCCCCTCACTCTCTTTCCCTCCTCTCTTTCACTCTCTTTATCTTCTCTGTCTGTCTGTCTGTCTGTCTGTCTGTCTGTCTGTCTGTCTGTCTGTCTGTCT